AACCCCGAAGTGAACTTCCTGGAATCAGTATCACCTGCCATGTCTGCATTTGTGTACCATTTTAACATAGGTTCATCACTACCAAAACATAAACATAACCTGTAAGTACCTCTTAGATATCTTAATATTCATTTCACTATTGCCCAATGTTCCTTTCTAGGATTAGAAAGAAATCGGCTGACAACTCTAACTATATGAGCTATATCTGGCCTAGTACAAATCATAACATACATTAAACTGCCTACTACAGATGAGTAAGACACTCTGGACATTTCTTCCTTTTCTTTCTCACTTGTAGGATATTGTTTCGAACTAAGATTAAAATGTCCTATAAGTGGAGAACAAACTGCTTTGGCTTTACTAATATTAAATCTTTCAAGAATCTTTTCAATGTAAGTCTCATGAGATAGTCAAATCTTCTTTTTCTTCCTATCACGAAAAATCTTAATGATAAGTATTTATTTCACCGATCCCAAATCTTTCATAGCAAAAGACTTACTTTGCTCTCTTTTAAGCTTTTCAATTTTACTAGCATCATGACCAACAATTAGCATATCATCAACATATAGCAGTAGAATAATAAAATCATTATCTAAAATTTTTTTCATAAACACACAATGATCCGATGTGGTTCTATTATACTCTTGGCTCATCATAAAGGAATCAAACTTCTTGTACCACTGTCTAAGTGCCTATTTGAGTCTATATAAGTTTTTCCTAAGCTTAAATACCATATTTTCTTTTTCCTTAACTTTGAAACCTTCTGGTTGCTCTATGTAAGTTTTTTCTTCTAAGTCACCATAAAGAAATATTGTTTTCACATCAAGTTGCTCAACTTCTAAATTCAAACGGACAACCAAATCAAGAACAACTTGGATAGAGGACATTTTCACCACAAGAGAAAGTATTTCTTCAAAGTCAATACATTTTTTCTGATTGAATCCTTTCACAACTAGTCGTGTCTTGTATCTTTGTTGTGAGCTATTATTTTCAGTCTTCAATTTATAAACCCATTTATTCTTAAGAGTTTTCTTCTCTTTAAGCAACTTTACTAAGTCATATATATGGTTCTCAAGCAAGGATCTCATTTCTTCTTGCATGACTTTAACCCGCTCATTCTTATGCTCATGTAAAATAACTTTTTGGTAAGTTTCTGGCTCTCCCCCGTCAATAAGCATAACATATTCATGTGGAGGATATCTGGTAGATGGTCATCACTCTCTAGTATATCTTCTTAATGAAATCTCAACTTGTGATGGAGGTGATTGTTCAGTTAGTTCAGCATCATCAACTGTAGGAGTATCATCACTTACATTCTCACCATAATCTTCTTGTTCATCTCCCCCATGATCATCATGAACTACAGGTGAAGGAACTGGACCCAAACTCTAAGGCATATAAACAGAGGTTTTTGGCTTCTCAATATTATTATCATCATCAAACAATTGGTTTTCAAGAAATACAACATCTCTACTTCTAATAATCTTTTTATTCACTGGATCACATAATCTATCATGATCATATCCCAAGAAGATATATCCTTTTGTTTTATTATCAAGCTTGGACCTTTCATCTTTGAGAATATGAACAAATGCTTTACACCCAAAGACTATCAAGTGATTATAAGATATATCTTTTCATTTCCATACTCTCTCTGGAACATCACCTTTTAGAGGAACTAATGGAGAAAGATTTATCAGGTCAACTGTAGTTCTCATAACCTCCCCCCAAAATGACTTAGGTAACTTCGCATGGGAAAGCATACACCTAATCCTTTCTTCATTAGTTCTATTCATCTTTTTTGTCACATCGTTCTACTGAGGAGTTTTAGGAACTATTTTATCAAGTCTGATACCATGAAACTTGCAATAATTCTTAAAAGGACCCCTGTACTCGTCACCATTATCTGATCGAGCACACTTTAGCTTTTTGCCAGTTTCTCTTTCAGCATTGACATGAAACTATTTGAAAACATCGAGTACTTGGTATTTAGATTTTAAAGCAAAAGCCCACACTTTTTTAGAATGGTCATCAATAAAAGTAACAAAATAAAGAGCACATCCAAGAGTTCTATTTTGTATAGTACAAACATCATTATGAACTAAATCAATAATATATGATTTTCTAGATGATGGATATGTATAAAATGTAACTCTATGTGTTTTTCTAGTTAAGCAATGATCACGAGATTTAAGAGATGTACCTTGCAACTCTAGTAAGAATTGCTTTCTAGCAAGAGTTTGAAGTCCCTTCTCGTTGATATGACCAAGTCTTTTATGCCAAAGATCTATACTTTCACCATTTTGAAATGTATTAATCTCTTATTTGTGTAGCTTAGCTTCCATGACATAAAACGAGTTAAGCTTATTTCCTTTTTCTATAATTAGAGAATCTTTAATGAGTTTCCATTTGCTTTCACCAAAATAATATGCAAATCCCTCATTATCTAGTCTGCTTGTAGATATCAAGTTAAGACAAATATCTGGAACATGTCTGACATATTTGAATATCAATTTGCTCCCAATACTGGTTTTAAAGTAAATATCTCCAATATCCACAATCTTAGATGTACCATTATTTCCTATTCTGACATTACCAAAATCACCAGCAGTGTAAGATCTGAAAAAATCAACATGAGAAGTAACATGAAATGAAGCACTAGAGTCAATTACCCAGATACTATCATGAGCAGCAAGACTGATACAACCGTCATCACAAACAATAATGATATTACCTTCAGTAGCAACTGTATTGGTCTCTTTCTCATTTTTCTTCATTTTATTTTGTTCTCGCTTCCAAAACCTACACTCTTTCTTAATGTGACGTGGTCTATTACAGTGGAAACATTTGATATCTCTTCTAGACTTAGATATTCCTCTATAATCATGTGAATTTGTGCTATGACTTCTTCTATGTCTTTCTTGTTTTTTAGTATAAATGCACTAGAAGAAGATTCAACCTGTTCTTTCCTTCTAGCATCTTTATTTAGCAAACTATCTTTAACCATATCAATAGTTAGAGTCTCCTCTGGCGTGGAGTTATAAATTATCATCATAAACATTTCCCAACTTTCTGGTAAAGAGCTGAGAAGTAATAATTCTTGCATCTTATCATTTATATTCATTTTTATAGCAACTAACTTGTTTGCAAGACTCTGAAATAGACTTATGTGCTTAACAGTATTATCACCATCTTTATACTTCAAATTTACAAGCCTTTTGAGAAGAGAAATTTTATTTCTCACTATCTTTTTCACAAAAAGGTTTTCTAACATTTGCCAAACAATATCAGCTCTGGTTTCATAAAAAATATGCTTATGCAAGTTTATATCCATCTATCTTTTAATATAGGTAATAGCTTTTCTATGTTGAACTTTCCATTGTTCATCGTCGGTTTATCTTTAACCTTGATAGGCTTATACAAATTTTTGTAATAAAGTAGATCTTCCATCGTACGCCTCCAAGTGGAATAATTTGATGGGTTCAATTTAATCATACAATCTGACTCTTCCATTTTAATCACATAAGAAAAACTAGCACCAAATAATCTACTGCTTTGATACCACTTGTTGGGAAAAACTTGTTAAAACGGAATAATTTTTTTTCCCTCTATCAAAATGGGTTCTTCGTCAAAATACCAACTTGATATCAAAATGCAAATATCAACCAGAACAATATAAACAATAGAGTGATAAATCAATCATATAGTGAGACCGAATTTTTAACGTGAAAAACTCAATATGGGAAAAATCACGGGACCGTAGTCCACCTCGAACTTCCACTATCAATAATAATGATAACAGATTTACAATAAGTCTTCTCTAAAATAGTAAGAGGATCGTAATGACATTAATATCATATATCTTGACTCAAGAATATCATATCTTCATCATATAAATGAATATCATAATAAGAGAATTTTAGATCTTATAAAGTGGATATCATAAGAAAATATCTCAAAGAGGATAAACTATATATCAACACCATTAGGATTGTTAAATTTACTATAAAAATTTTTCATATAAAATTTAGGTACGAAGTTTAACCCAAAACTCATAATCCTTTTTTTTTTTTTTTTTTCTTTCTCTCTCTCTCTTTTCTCTCGCCGTGTGCTGCCACCGTTCTCTGCATGGACTAACACTGCCCTCGCTCCTTTTTCTCTCTCTGTTCTTCTCTCTCTACCCCGCATCGCTTGATGCGTGCGCTTTTAATTATAGTCCAAATTGTCCGATCTCAGGGCTGGACCCAACAATAAACAATTGAACATGCAATTAGCAGTGTCAGAGCCCGGGATGGGGGCTATTATTATCACAGCTGGAGCCGAGACCTAACCAAAGGGAATAGGCCAGCATTGAATGAGCCCCGTGGTGCAGCTCTTGCAGCTTGCATGCGAGCAGAACACGGACGGGTCTGCAATTATAGAGACGAATGTAATTACAGGAAGCGGATTGACGATTTCGCATTCCGATAGGGCAAATATAGTCGTTTGGTGGACGGAGAAATGACCGATAGATACTAATCCTAATGGGGATTGGGGAGGCCCTAGATCACGAGGAAACTACGGGGAGTTGTCATAATGGCACGAGCAGGTCCCCCCTGGAATTAAATTGCGACCACTTGTAGTATTAAAATAATAAAAAAAGAAGTACGATAGCATCTTGTTGCCAATGTAGAGCCACCGCAAACTGCTCGCTCCGCCCTTCCACATGCATTCCTGGATTTAACTATTTCTAATATAAAGCAAACGAATATTAAAATTTTTATCGTCATTATTATTATTGATGTTATTGATTGTATCAACAATAATAGTATAATAATAATAATTGTTATTATTATTATATGAGACAAAAAGTGGGGGAGGGGCAGTAGTGTCAGTCGACTGACTGATTGACCATTCAACACCCGAGAGCTCTATTAATAATAATAGATTAATTATTAATAAGAACGAGACAGATATATTATTTCCGGTGTGTAATAAATACTATAATAGCAGGAGCAAGGGTTTCCCCTTCGTTTGCGGATCGAGCTGTCTCTCGTCTTCTGCTCCTCCTCCTCTCCCTCCCCTTCGGTTCTTCTCTCTGGTTCTTCCTCTCGTGGGGTTTGTTTGTTTGGCCGTGGGATTGATGGGGGTTTAGCTAGCATTCGGCGGATACGAGTGGTGGCATTACCCCAGGATTGCGGGCAGCGGAGGAGCTAACTGATGGGATCCGGCAGTAGCAAGGACTCGGCGGCGGCGGCGTCTTCGTCGGTTAAGGTCCGAAAGCCGAAACCGAGAAGGATTAGGGTATTCGACTCTTCCTGCTTCGGACTCTCCTCCATTCTATCAGATGGCCATCAGGTGGGCTATCTCTTCTTCTCTTCAGTCTCTTTAGACGTTGTTCTGGTTTTGATTCAAATAATGACGGTTGATCTGTCTTGTGAAACCCTGGATCTATTTCTTGTTGGTGGTGAGCCCAATGGATAGGGAGCTTTTATTTATTTATTTTAAATAATTTTGATAGGGCAGAAATTATTGGGTTCGTAACCCTATGCCAAAGCCGAGAGACATTGCCACAAAAGATGCTCTCGAATCATAAAGACGCTCATTTCTTCTGCCTGATATCAGAAGAGAAGTGTTATGCGGTCTGTGTCAATGAAAAGCCAAAGCCGACAGACATTGCTACAAAAGATTCTCTTGAATTATAAAGACGCTCATTTCTTCTGCCTGATATCAGAAGAGAAGTGTCGACTGATTCTGTTGGTGTACAACTGGCCATGTTAATTAGTTTGACAACAATATATTTGTACCATTTCTCTCGGACACCATGCTACTTATGTGTTGTTTTAGAATGCCAACATTCAGTTTCTGGTGGGAATGATATATTACAAAATTGTTCTTTATTTTGATCTGCGATCTTTAGCTAACTGAACAAAGCAAAGCATTTAATGTACTGACTGTGTTATGTTACTTTCTGGTAATGCCCCATGATGGAGATCTTCTACCCTTTTGAATGCAGATCTTTGAGTTGACACATTTTGATCAAATTTCCTCTAAAATCTGTACATTTTTTAGAAGCCTGTACCATCAGAAACCTACATTTTCTGGACAGAATGGGTCAGTTATCTATGGTAGTCTAGATGTTAATACCTAGTGGCTCTTTTCCACTTGGCAGATTTCTGGATTCACCTTTTTGCTTGATGCTGCCATTTGTTAAACACAGATAAAAGATTTTTGAAATGTGTGAAACTTGAAAAAGAATTTAAATTCTAATTTTTGATAGATTATTCCTATCATAACATTGAGTATGTATAGATGTTTTTCACCCCTTTTAATTTTCTTTTATTATGGAATAAAGAAGCAGTCGGGAGAGGGATCTTTGGCCACATAGTGGCATTTTTACTTATGCCATGATTATTAGGTGGGACATTTATGAGCTGTTCTGCACTCTATTGGCATAGAAACTTTTTTCATTTTAGCTTCCTTCAGAAGGGACCTTCGTAGCCAATGGGTTTTGTCTGACACATTCTATCAGTAAGCATAATCATGTGATGGATTTTGCAGGGCAAATTAAAAACCCTACACAAAGCTAATTCCTATGGTATCTTATGTAGACTTGCTTTCTTGTTAACCTCAAATCTTGTAAAACAAACTATTCTTTTTTTTTAAGCAAAATTAATTATTACTTATTCAATTTCGAATCTAAATTATTCTTTGATGATTATTTTCTTCTAGTCTAGAGCCTTTGTGCATGAATAAGAGCTTTCTCCTGTGATTGCAGAAGACAGAAGAGAATGAGAGACCTAAAGGCACCTTTTGTGCTGATGAAGCAAACAGTAAATCAAGTGGAGGAAATGATGATGATTGTGATAAAGCTGCAGTTGCTTGTCATAACAAGTTGCCTTTGCTGCATTCTTCTGATGTTGAACAAAGTGGAGAAGCTGATGAGGGTACATCACAGACCGAACTGGGTCCCAACAGCAGTTCTTCAAATGCTGTAGTTGATCGATCATCGGGCACTTCTGGCAGGTTACATTCTCGTTTTAACTTTATCCCAGATGGAATCAGCTTTAGGCTTAACAGAGCAGTCAGTTTGGGTTCGTCAGGGTCCCGTTCTCTCCTCTCTACTGGTCTCTCTGTTCCAAGAAGTGACATGGGAGAATATGTTTTAGTAAATCTTGATAGTTCTGTGGATAGAAATGATACACAAAGTGGCAGCACTCTGGAAATGAGCTCATCCCAGAATGCAGGTCGAATTAATGCAGAAAGAGAGGCTACATTTAGTCAATATTCTAATAGGAGCTTTGTAGAATCCAGGAATACAAGGCATTCTCATAGAAGGCTTGGACCCCAAGAACCTTTGGAAGGTAGTGTAAGGTTTAGCAGAACACTTAGTGTTGGAAGGCTCCGTGATAGAGTTCTCAGGAGAACTCCATTTTCTGATGGTTTATTTTATCCTGCTTTCCTGGAAGATAGGTCTGTGTGGTCCAGTGCGCAGGCTAGTGGAAGACGAGCCTTGGGTGGTGCAAGAAGAACACCTTCTTCCCACAGGATTAGTGGATTTTTGTCTGATTCCTCTAGTAGTAACCTTCGTCGGATTGCTAGATCTATGGATATCGGCGATGATAGTGTCTCAAATAGGCGAACCGTGCATCATGATGCGTTGGAGCATAGATCAGCTTTCCTTGAAAGGAGAAGAAGAATAAGATCTCAGGTAGGACAATTTGGATTGTCTCTTTGTGGTTTCTCATATTTATGCAATAATCACAGAATTTGTTTTTTATTTGCAGGTTCGTGCTCTTCAACGACTTGGTAGCCGGTTTGAGAGTTTGTCAGGTCATGACAGATCATGTATTTTATCTGGTCAGCATCGAACAGGCCGGTGCACATGCAGAACAAGTAGACAAACTGCCAATCCTGATGATGACACAAACACTAGGGCAAGCATATCAAGAATTGTTATGCTAGCTGAAGCACTGTTTGAGGTATGATGGAACAGTGAATATGAACTTGGACAAAAACATTTGTTGTATAAAATATACATATATATATATGTATATGTATATGTATATGTATACATATATATATGTATATGTATATGTATAAAATATATGTATATGTATATGTATATGTATATGTATACATATATATATGTGTATACATATATATATGTGTATACATATATACATACATATATATACATATATACAAGGATTATAATTTCGAATAATATCGTTCGTATTGGGCGGTACCTATCAGTCCGTTAGCAGATCGGTATACAGACCGCCCACTACCAAGCGGTATATATATATATATATATATATATATATATATATATATATAGGGTCGCCTTTTTTTTGCGACGTCGCCTCGGCAACGTATCCCCGCTTGGGGAGAAGAGAGAGGCGATGTCGCTTCGGTGAAGCGATGTCGCTGAATTATATATATATATATATATACCGAACGAAATATCACTTGGTATACAGTACCGTACCATACCAAGCGAATGTCTAAACTTCGGTATGGTACGATATTTCAATCCTTGCATATATATACGTATATACATATATATACATATATACACATATATATATATACATATATATGTATATATATGTGTATATATACACATATATACATATATATACATATATACATATATATGTATATATATATGTGTATATATGTATATATGTATATATATGTATATGTATATGTATGTATATATACATACATACATACATACATACATACATACATACATATGGTTTCTTTGGAGCAGTCAAATTTACTTCTTATGCAACTCTTTTAGGTTTTGGATGAAATCCACCAGCAGTCCATAGCTCTATCTTCTCGACCATCTTTTTCATCCATCGGTTCAGTTCCTGCACCAAAGGAGGTTGTAGAGTGTATTCCAATAAAAATATATAACAAGCCATCAAAAACCCAAAACGAGGAGGCTGCACAGTAAGAATCACTCCTTTTCTTGGTTGCCCTTTTACTTATCTGTGAAGTTTTCCTGCTGCTCCTTGTTTAAAAGTTATGAAAAACACCTTGTCTTTTACTGATGAAAATTATTAAGTGCTTCTAATTAAATATGCTGGCAATTGCTTAAATGTCACATTGGACCTTCATTATTAAATATTCTCGTTGAATATAAGGTTTTTTTGATCATGTAGCTTTTAGATGCTTAGATGCATTGTTATACTTTATTTAAATTACTAAAGTCGCTTTCTTGTAATCCATATAGCCTAAATTTGACTGTCGTAAATGATTTTGTTTAGACTTCTGTGGTATTTTCTGTATTCTAAGCTGTAGAGGAGATCAATCTGATAAATCTTAGGATAGTACAATATGTAGTCTCAGACACAAGCATGTTTTGTTAGAAATGCTTCTGCGATTCTTATGATTACAATTAAATTCTGTCACAAGTTCAATGTGCATGGACATAGGAAAGATGTCTTAGGAGCATAATACATTTGCATAATTACATGTAGTACACTAACTTATACATGTGTATGTATAGAACACATTGTTTTTCTCCAAGTACCACATTGGTGTGAAAATCTTTCTGTCATTCTAGCCAAGTTATCACTTTACTTCCCTCCATTTCCTTTTTTTTTAAATTCGAAGGATCTTATGTATATTTTTACATGCATGAAGTGCATGTTTATTATATGAATGTACATAGGCATAAAATGGTCTTATGCAAGCTTGTAATAATTGTTTTCCCTTATTGTTTGTCCATTGTTTGGAAATAGTATATCTGTAACTATGCACTGTAGATATGACTAGTCTGTGATACAGTGACTTTCAGATAACTATGTTTACAGGAAAGTGTGAGTGAAATAGAAAACTCTATTGCATCCTTGAAAAATCCTTCACGTCATACTCTGAAATCAATCTGTGGTCCCAAGTATAGCCACTGAATTCAGCAAACAGTTTTTCAGTTCATGTGTCCAACATTGACCTTAGATATGCAGACCCTTGGTTTTGCCTTGCCCTTTCAATAGCCTGTGAACAACAGAGTATGTTCCTTTTATATTATCTGCCGTAGCTTGTTATCCAAGCTGTTCAGAATTTTTGTCATGTTATACCAGCCAAAAACAGAATTTTTTGTGCAAATTATAGGGCGCATGAACAATGATTTTAGGTTGTTTGTATAATGTAGAGGATTGTTTTCTGAGTCATACACAAAAATTGCATTAGAAGGGAAAAAATGAATATAGGTTGCAGCTGCACTGACGAGGGTATAATAATTATGTTGAGGTATGATAGTTAAGCAGTTAGGGAGCAACATGTACATTCTATTTGCAATCAAATGCTGGTTTATTGAAATTAAATGTGTAACTTATGTACTCAGAAAGTTGCATTTTTTTTCATAGATTGCTGCTGTTTGTATTTTTAAGTTATAATATCATTGTTTTCAGTGGTATTATTTTTGTATATAATGAACAATTTTGCACTTGAAGTTTAAACAATTAAGCTTATTACACATTCCCGTGGTTGCTATTTGATTGATAGATGCTATATTTGCCTTGTGGAGTATGAAGAAGGAGATTGCATACGGATGCTGCCTTGCAATCACGAATTTCATCGAACATGTATAGACAAGTGGTTGAAAGAAATTCACAGGTATCCTTCTAGTGCATTTTCCTCAGTTTGCCATTTCAAGGTCATCTTTTTCAAGCTACCTCAGTCTCATATTGTACAACTTCTAGATCATGTTAGGTTTTTGTATCTTGCTTTTATTTTTCTTAAGAAATTCTAAAATTCTGGACTAGCTTCATTTTTTCTTATTTTTTATTGTTTCTTTAACAAGAAAGCATATCTAAAAAGGTTATTGCATTTCCTAGATAAAAAAACGTTCTCAAGCATCTCTTGCTATGTTTGTTGAAGATCCACTTTCCAATTCAAGTGCGAGTGGCTTTTTTTTATTCTTTTGATCACAAACTTAAACATTTAAAAGTGAAGTTCAATGGATATCATTATCAAGGATCTTGGTACAATTAAATGGGCCATGGGAGTTGGCTGTTGTATCAGTATTTGCCGACATGCCAAGCCAATACCAAGTTACCAACTCTAAAGTATGGTAGTTGGAAGTTAGGTGATTAAGAAAAAGGAGAGAACCTATAATAGTCAGAAAATCATGTACCTCATTGTAATGCTGACACAAGGTTTTTAATCTCGTATCGTACCAATATTTCGAGCTTTGCTCGGTACGGGGTACCGAGCGGTATGCTTAAAGAAAAAATATAAATTATAATTTTAGGTATGCTCGTTGTTCTCTCAAAACCCTTAGCCTTCTCGTCGCCTCGGTTGCGGCCTTTGATGTCAAGGAGGTGGGGAGGAGAAACCCTTCGGCTACGACCTTTGGAAGGGTTACAAAGGTTCCGGGGTCTTCGCCGCCTTCCTCGTGACCGCCTCTTCCGTTTCTCTTGCTGTTGCCTCCCCCAATCCCCTCGTCTCCAGTTCCTCCTACAAAGAGGTACGACTCTCATCGCTATTACCTCCTGGTTCTTGATAGGGGATTAAATCTTTCGTGTTGGTCGATCGATTAATTGATCGACAGGGATCGTCGAGGGAGGGCGACGCCGGTTTGGGATCGAGAAAGGGCGTGGAAGATAAGTTCGCGTCGAGGTTCTATGGGCTCAGTTTCATCAAGACGCTAGTGACGACGTATCGGTGACTTAGCGGTCCTCTTTCTCGATGCTTCTCCCTCTTCTTCGAACGCCCTCTTCTTCCTCCCCTCGCCTTGTTGCCCCCACTCGATGCTTCTCCCTCTTCTTCGATGATTCTCCCCCTTCTTCGATGCTTCTCCCTCTTCTTCGAATGCCCTCTTCTTCCTCGCCTCGCTGCAGCCAAATACTTGATACCGCCTTGTCACAGATAAAATTGTAAACGAGGTGTTTGATGTAATGCTCATGTATGTCTGTGTCTTTTGGTTTTGTTCATGCTTTGCATAGCATGTAAAGGGCTGACAATAGGCTTAGCAGTCTCATTTTGTTTGGTTTTGGTGGCCGTCTTAGGCTTGCAAACAAAGGTTGTGTCATATGGACACTTGTGGGTATTTTGGTCTATAGTGGACCATTTATTGTGCGACCGTTTAGAGTTTATGAAATCTGTTTGAAATTTACATTGGATATGAATTGTTTGCTGAAATGATTGCTTGTGTATCCCGCGTGAGACATTTTCTCTAACCTATTTTCTCTTTTGTAGGTCCTAAGGGACCATAGGAAGTTTCGGGGAGGCTGACCTTTGCGGACGGACATGCAAGGGTACCGCACGACTTAGGCAAAACCAGCTAAGTGCGTGATATATGGTATTGGAGCAGGACAAGCACACATAGAAATACTTGGCATGCAAATGTGGGGGACATAGCGAGGCTGTGTTGAGGGCAGCTAGCACGCATATCGTTTGGGGAAACAAGCATGGAGATGTAGGGAAAAGGAGTCACTTAGTGAAGCGGGTATCTGAGATTGACATTCAGAGGAATGACCAACTTTTCGCGCAAGAGGCATCGCAAGGACAAGCAAGCTGGGAAGAATGCGTAGCGCACAAAGGTTGGGATGGCTGAGTTCGAGCTACGGCTCAATGTTGGCAACCATACTTGATGGTGCTCAAGGCAAGCGAGACGCTTGGTAAAGGACCAGACTATACAAGGTGGAATGGGTTGTTCATTGACTAAAAGAGTTGTGCAAAGCTCACAGAGGTGAGGGGAATTGCTAACTCGAAGAATTCGGTACTTGATATGGCAAAAAATGGTAAACCCCACTCCCGGCGACGTCCCCCGCACGTGGACAGGCGCGGCGCCCCAGGGAGAGCAACGAGGGCGACGGTCTGCGTCCGGACGACAGCTTCACTGAGCCCACAGTCCCTCAGTTGACCCAGCACAGTAGGACGAGATAGGAGTAGGTAGCGGTTGAAGCTCGCCCATACCCTGCGATTCCCCATTCCCATACGCAAGGTCCTCGGCGATGTT